CACGACTCCAAATGAATGCTAATGGTGCTACAAGTCTGCCGGATGTGTAAATAGCCAACTGTTTGCTGTATCAACTTTATAAGGCGTTAATACTGGATGTTAGTGTTGTATTTATGGCTTTTTGCACTTCCTCATAGTGTCCATTAATCCATTAATGCAGGTTAACGGTAAAAGGATGAACTCGGTTTTCATCCATGGATACCAGTCAATATACAACATCTTATTCCAGTTAGTTTCATACTTATGTTACCTCAACTCAAGGTTGCATGTTGAGTTGCAGCCTTGAAACTAACAAGCACGCTGTTAGAATGATGTACAGTGGCTTCAGAAAGTACTAAATTCAAAAAGTAGATTTAATTTTAAATTGATAAAAAATACAATTTCTGCCCATAAATCTAAAGTCATCTAAAAAGTATTCATACGCTTTGCTGTGGTACTCCAAATTGTGGTCAGGTGCATCCTTATTTGCTTTAATTATCCTTGAGATGTGTCCAGAATTTGATTATCCCACCTGTGGTAAATTGATTGGCCACAGAGATGGACACTGGCTTGGAGTTTGCCAAACGGCATTTAAAGGACCCTGAGAGCATGAGGGAAATGATTCTCTGGTCTGATGAGAGAAAAACTCTTTGGGCAGAATTCCAAACACTATGTCAGTTAGACACCAGGCACTGTTCATCACCTGGCTAATGCCATCCCTACGGTGAAGCATGCTGGTGGCAACATGAGACCATTCTGATGCTTCTCAGCAGCAGGGACAGAGAGACTGGTCAGAATTGAGGGAAGGATTAATGCAGCCAAAAACAGCGAAGTCCTTGAAGGAAACTTGAGTGCACACAGCCACAGACTGGGGCGACAGTTCATCTTTCAGCACGATAATGACCCGAAGCATGCAGCCAAGACAATGCTGGAGTGGCTTTGGGACAAGTCTCTGACTGTCCTTGAGTGGCCCAGCCAAAAGTCCAAACTTAAATCCCGTAGGACATCTGTGCAGAGACCCGAAGTTGGCATTTCACACTTCCAATCTGATTGAGCTTGAGAGGATCTGCCAGGAAGAATAGGATAAACATCCTAAATCCAGGTGTGCAAAGCTTGTAGGGACTAAACTCAAGAAGACTCTTGGGCTGTAATTGCTGCCAAAGGGGCTTCTTAAAAACTTCATAAAAACATGTTTGCACTTTGTCATTATGGACTAAAAATAGACTATAAATAGACACAATAAAGTCTGAATAGGGTCTGGATACTTTCTGAAGCCACTGTATGCCACTTTGCACTAGCTAAGTTTAGCAAGTTCAAGATCTCTACACTCAATGACCCTTCAGGAGATTCAAACATGTTACGGAAGTAAACAAAACATTTGATAATTTCTTTTTCATGATGAACACCAACTGGTCACATTTCATTTTGCTTTCTCTCTGTCTATCCCGGATATATTCTTTCCCCTGAAAGTAGCATGTCACAAGCACTTTTGGCCACGCCAAGTCAAATCATGTCATGCTGCTTTGCAATTCCCGTTCTTCTCTCCCTCAAAATACATGCAAGACTCAACTCCTGTACAGGAGAGCAGAGAGCTACACTCTATGCTGTGCATTCAGATATCTGCGTCATTTTACGGTTTCATGTTGGCTTTTAGCTGTATAGGAGTTGTTACTGCTGATGAAAACCCAACAACCTGGTTTTGCTGCTTCATAATAAAACAGTTTAGATAACAAAATAACCAGAGACTTTTATTGTGAAGAATTTATCAGAAAGCAAATCCCTGCCGTGCTGGGCTGGAGCACCGAGTTAAACCTAGTCGAGCCAAGCCAGCACATATATGTAGAAAAACACCATATGACGAGCCTGGACATCTAGATAGAGCTCGGAGTGGAACTGTTGTTTCTTCATTTTAAAGAGGTGCTGGCATCTGATAAGGATTCCTCTTTTACACCTCCTTCTAAAAGTATTCTGGGCCTGGAAGAAAGACCCAGTGGAACATGCTGGATAGACTGTATATCTCATCTGGCCTACTAACAACTTGGGACCCCCCGGGGGGTGCCTGGAATACTTTGATTAATGCTGGAGTATGCAAGAAACGAAGTTGTCATGTTGTCAAGGGTTAATAGCTGTTCTGAATGATAGGGTGAGAGGTTGATACTGTAGGAAGTGATAAGACGCACTGACCTCTTCAAATGGGGATGAGTGCACACACTTGCTCCCTTTATGGTGTTGCACTTGGTTGTACACTTGTGATGGGAGTAGCTGTGTGAAGAAGCATAAAAGGGAGCTAGAGAGAGATGTTCAACCCCTTTGACTTCCACACATCATCATCAAGTGCTACGAGAAGTGTTTGTTAGATTTTCACTTTTGGAAAGTCAGATATCGATCTGTGAAGCACTCCGGCTGAAGCATTCTGACTCCTTCAAGCTGCTACCACTGTGACGAAGACTTGAATAAGCGCCAGAAAATTGATGGAGGAAGGGATGGATGGATGTCTTTGAATAATCTTTCAAAACAAGTGCCGTTCAACTAATACTATACTTGTCACTTTCCTATTGTTTAACCAGTATTCCTTTCCACTCCCAGACAGCAGAAGAGTCCTTTACTAGATTTTTAGGACTGTCAAATTCATGGACTTCACGTTGTGTTTATTTGGAGTGAAGTGTTCCCAAAAAATGGGGAATAAAATTGTTTGTGTTTCCTCTCTGTCCCATCCTTGGTGAGAGTCTTAAAGGTGACAAGGCTTGTCAGCTCCTGAGCTTTCATATGCTGCAGTTGTCGGGCCATATCTGACATCTCCCTGTCACCTCAGTGAAAGCGGGGAAGGAAGTGACAACCAGGCCGAGCCTCTGCAGTCTCTCTCTTAGGAGCCCGGATATTTTGGCGCTGGATTGGGGAGACTGTTTTGTGGAACACTGAGATAGCGAGTGCCGTCTCGGAGGAAGCTCATCTGTCAACTGGATACGGGGAATCAGACTGTGACAATGAGGTGATAAAAAGGTGACAGTGAGGAATCCCTGCCAACAGCAAACAACATCCCGGGGCCGGCCATCTGCTGAGACTGCTCTGAGTTTTAATAGTGAGGCTGATCTTTGAAGGGTCAGGGCAGGTTGTGTCGCATGTAGGTATTATAATTTCCTATTGAGTGAATGTTAAAGGACTTGGCAGTGGTGGCTATGTCTAAGAGGAATCATGGGACTTTTTCAAAACACTTCTCTGATGGTAAATCTGAACCTTTTTAGGAGCAAGTATTTAAAGCTGCAGAAGGTAATTTTTATACAAATAAGTTTTTGTGATGTTTGCTGAAAGTTTCACAATATCCTGACAGTACAACATGAAACAGATAATCTGTGAAAATATCAGGTTCCTCTGGCTCCTCCTAGTGCTCCTAATTGCATTTGCAAGAATCCACCAGGCCTGAACAAAAACAACCAATCAGAGGCAATCACAGATTATCTGTCTCATGTCCCACTGTCAGGTTATAGTGAAAGATTCAGCAAATATAACAGTTTCCCAAACTTTTTCTAACCCCAACCATGGCGACCCAGTTCACAACGAGAAGAGCAAACTTGAGCATAAATAAACGTTCCCGACCATTTGTACTGCTATTTCTGCATCATATTTTCTTGAACAGGTAAAGCAGCCATTTTGAAGAGATAAACATCAGATAATTCATCATTAGTAAAGCAAAACACATTTTAACGACCAAAATAATATCTCCCTCCATTCATTCCCAGAGACGGTCTCTGAGAATGACTGCTCTAATGCATCAGGGGGGAAAGCTGCATGTGTTTTTGTGTTCACTGTGCCAGTAGGGCGTTCTTTCCGTCCATTATCTCTCCTATCACATGAAAGTTGAGGCTATTTCATCAATTAATCTGCGCTGTGTTTTAGGAGAAGAGAAAGACCCAACAGTACAGCAAATGGGTTTTTTTTCTCCTGCTGTGGCAGAACCACCAATCTGTGGATGAGATTGAATGATTTTCACTCTGCAGCTAACACAGGGCCCATTTCTCACTTATAGAGAGTCAGGAAATTGCACCTGAAGAGGACCAATCAGAATGTCCCCCTGGGTGTTCAGGGCCAAGCCTGAAGATACACAGGGAACCTGCAGCTATAAAAAGAAGTAATACACGCCACAGCATCAGAGCTTTAATGGGAAAATAAAAGAATTGGCTCGGTAGCAACCACATTAAACCGAGTTTGATAGAAGGAATCACCAAGGCTGCGTTTGTTTTCTCTCCTCTGCTGCAAACTGACATGGGGGGCCTATTAAGATATTATTCCTGCTTTTTTTTTAAGATGAGAAATTATATTCTGTTGTACAAAAACTGTTTGTTCACCCGTGTGGCTTATTGTTTTGTTCGGTGTCTGGGGCAGAAATTGTGGAGTGGAGTGTTACAAATCCCCACCCAGATCACTGAGAGGCTGTGTTTTAATTTGATGTGCATGATTAGTAAGCCTGATTGACAAAAATGTTTAGCGGACCACAAGCGGCATTCAATTAAGTCACATCGGAGCAAAGATGGGCTGTTTTCAGGCTTTCATTTGGCAGTCACTTCCTGTCTTTTTTGAATTCCTTCAACTAAGTGGCATGTTATTAGGATAATGATGGGTGTTAATCTATTACTGTCCAATGTGCGTGTTCAGAGCCTGCCTCAAGCATACATTGACATCATAAATATGCAGTAAAAGGTAGCTCATTCAAAGGTATTTGATGAATATGGCATGTTTTCCTGTGGTTGCACACAGATATGGTCCTCTGCCTGCTTGTCCATATGTGGGTTTCTGTTAACGTGTGTGTGTGTGTGTGTGTGTGTGTGTGTGTGTTGTTTGTGCGGTTGTTTACCTTGTACGCTTTGCACATGTGATGTACTTTGTGTGCTGCACGCATGAGCATACAAGGCCCCGATGTGTTTGCTGTTTGTGTGCTCAGTCTTTTGTTTGTGTAGCATGTGTTTTTTCTTTCCACTCTGTGCAGTGAGTGAGCACTGTGTCCTCCCTCCCCCCTCCGGTCCCAGGTACTCATTCCAGGATGAAGAGGACATGTTTATGGTGGTGGACCTCCTGCTGGGAGGAGATCTGCGCTACCACCTGCAGCAGAGTGTCCAGTTCAGCGAGGACGCTGTCAAACTCTACCTCTGTGAGATGACGCTGGCACTCGACTACCTGCAGAGCCAGCACATCATCCATAGGTACACTTTTTTATCTTTTTTCTTTTTATCTTTACCTTTTGAGGATACCTGTAAAGAAACATGTCTTTCCTGGCTTCACTGTCGAAAGCTCAAAAAGAAAAAAATAACTAAAATGATTCATAAAAAACTAACTTAGAAGTTTATTTGCTTTAGGCTGTTTTGGCCATACCTTTACCTGCTGTCACATTATGTTCATGTGAATTAAAATAAGGATTAATGCAGCTTTAACTTTTATCTAAAAAAATTCTTGATCTGTTTTGTAGATAAAAGTCATGGTTGCATGTTTTTTTTAAGGTCCTTGGTGTATTAGTTTTACACTGAATAAAATGACTTAAACATTGAATACAATGCCACTCCCACTGTGCGACCAGACGCCTTACTCTCTGGGTTTTGATTCAATCTTCAAAACATCGAATCAGAGAGAGAAAGACAGACGCATTAAAGTCCCAAATATGCACATTGAAGTGTTTATATCCACAATGCTTACACAATGCTCTTCAAATACACCCGAAGCACCAGTTTGGCAATTACATCATCATACATACTGTTTCATCAAATAAAGCCTAGAATCTCTGCTGCACTGAAACTCAAGGTTGTGGCTGTGACTTTTAGTATTCATGAGGCTTTGTTCATTGTGTTCTGCTTCTCCAGCTCGCAGCATTGTTATTGGTGATTTATGAATGTAATTGTCTACTCTTCAGACTGGAACACCAAAATGAATTTAAGTAAAAGTTTTCTTTACATCGGGAGTCATGCATTATCTCCTCTCTGCTACTACAGCAATCATCTTTTTCCTTTGTGTAAGCAGAACCACAAAGTCACAGTGCCTTTCTAACTAGCTTTATATGCAGTTCTTTGGGATGTAAACATGACTCAAGTGTCTCAGTATAGATATTTTATTATTTACATCCACCTTCATCCTTCCTGTTGATCTCACCTGCTTGCACTTTGACCTCACTGGTCAGGACTACATCCTGTCAGATGACACTACATTATTCTTCCAGAGGAGACTCTCTAGAAAAGATGGTATAAAGGGTTGGTCATGTTTTTATTTTGGGAAGTGTGCCCTCTATGTCGTTATTTATTTATTTTTTTTCACCATTTTTAACCTACTGTTGTATCCATGCACTCACTTTCACAGTACAGCAGGGTGTCCTGGAATAGCTGGAACTTTAGAGACTAGTTTAAGTCATGGAAACCCCACGAATTTGATAAAAATGACCAAAAGCTCTGGAAACAATCTATGTTTTCCTGGAAATTTGTGATTGTATTTCAGCCCCTCACTCAGATCGGCTAAACTTATGTTTGTATTTAGTTTTAAACTCAACGGTTGGTAGGATGAGCTGCGCTGTATGACACTTCAAAGACGCCAAGCGGTACAGAAAAACGCTCCCTTTTCATTTCTGCTCACATGTCAGTCAACAGCTGTTCAAACCACTTTTGGCATCAAGCCTATTTTGGAAATGTTATATGGTGATATCTACATGCACACAGCCTATTAATGATCAAATTTACATCTGTTGTCGTAGCTGATAAATACATGCACAGTGATGTTAATCGTACATGCAACACTTACCTCTTCTTTTAATAGGCTGATTTTCACTAAATTTTTCTTGATTCTCAAAATTTTGATTTGAATTGTTATTTATGGGCCAAATTAATGTTACAGTTAGATGAAGATTGTAGTCAATTTACCAGAGGCCATAGCTTCACTCAATTGGCTGTGGTGAGATGTTAACATCCCATAAACGCTGGTAGTGAGCGAGTGCTGTCCTGTTGTGTCAAGAAAATCTCCTGAAAAATGTCGTTGCAAAGTCCTGGAAAAGTGGGAACCCTGTATAAGGAGAAATGTGTTTGTTATCCTCTGTTTAGAAGTCCAAAAGCGTTTTTAAGAGTAATTAAGATGCAATATAATGGAACATAAAAGTAGAGATAGTATTATTATAGAAAATATACTACACAAGTAAAAGGAGCCTTATGTAAGCACACTGTCTTCAGGCTGTTCATATATTCAGTCTTGGTGTGGGCTGAAGGTGTTACCTTACAGGCATTTGGGCATCCCTGTTTTTATTTACGTTACTTTACATATATAAAGATAGCCCTCATGTGTTTTCCCATAATTGTAACCATCCATCATCTTCAACCAGGGTGGACTCGCTGCCGTCCGCAGCTTTTTGTCTGAATATGCTGAGCGCAGCAGTTTGTGTCCGTGCAGTCCAGTAAGTGGAGGAGCCGGATCCCTGCAGACTGCAGATTTAGTGCCACAGATGGCTAAAAAACTGTTTGAACCTTGTTCAAAACCTCATTGGAGCTACATTTCTTCCTTCAAACAACAGTATACTGTCTGTGTGTCTGTGTGTGTGTGTGACTGTGTGTGTGTGTTTCTAGTGTTTTCTGACGTTTAGGCACTAAAAAAATAACTTGAATGAAGCATCTTGCCTGCAAGTGATTACATTTGAAGTATTTTACAGAATTAAACAAACAGTAAAGAAATTCAAAGTGTTTAAGAGCAACTTACAGGTTTACCATCGGGACATTATATCTTCTTTACCTAAACCGTCTAAAAATGGGAAAATGGGAATAAGCGTCGAGTTGCGTGTTTTTACTGGGGGGTTATGTGCTGAACCATTTTCTTGGCGAGGAGCAGTAACTACCTAGGATGTCCACTGGTTGCCTGGCAACCTCACTGTGACAACTCCATCTAGACTCACTGATAGTTTGGTGGTATTGATCTTTTCAACTAACAAGAAAGCGTAAGAGTGTGTGTATGTTCTTAATTAAAAGCAAGGCTCAAGCATAAATAATATATACATTAGGCATCACATACAGGATATACTGTGAAGAGAAATATACAAATGCACATACAGTGGATGTATTTACAGTAAGCTGTCTGTGTGTATGTGTGCACTATCTATCTACACTATAGTGTAGATTCACTATCATGTCATCATTTTCATGCATTATATAACATTACAAGCGTGTGTGATATCTATGTAATTTCATCGAGTCAATAACTCTCCCACGTTTTCACTACATGACATATGAGGTAGGAAGTGTCCTCCTTTCCTCGTCGTTGACAAAGACGTTTATAGAGCCACCATTAGAAATAGGTGACAGACGCTGCTTATCTTTGTTTTTTCACCCTCTCCTTGACAACAACCTCAACAGTTCTGCCTTTGACACAATTGTGTCTGCTCTCAGAGCCGTAATCCAATCCCTGAGTATCCATGGCCGTCCCCAGCTCTACAATTTTGTTCCACCCTGTAAGTTTTTGACAGGAGAATACTATACAATTATTTTGTTGCACCAACTGAAGGAAGAAGGGTCTCTGGTCTCCTAGCAACAGTCAGCTGCCACCATGCCCAAGGAGGTAAAATTGGTCCTATGAGAAGAAGGGAAGTAAAAGTGGAGAGTCTTTTCTCTTTTGTCTTCTTTTGTCCGCTTCCTCTCTCAGCAGACCACCAGGTAGCTTCATTTATCTTCATCATATAGACTCAACATCTTAAAACTGCTAGCTGTTAGATCACCTCACGCAGGCGGTTTGTTCCTGTGAAATAAGACTTCCCTTTACATGCTGTTTCATGTTGGATTGGTGTTTCTGAGCTTTCTGCAAAATGAATTAAACGTTAAGTGAATTTTGTACTTCAAACAAAATGGCACGGCGCTTCAGCTGGCACTCCTCCTGTGAACATGCATGTATTTCCCTCCAGCTTTGTACTGCTGGATCACTCCGACCCCCCAACACCACTCCCCTCAAAGAGTTTTGGCAGACGATATTAGCATCAGCTTAGAGTTGCATAGCCACAGTCCTATGGGAAGTGTAGATGCTCTCTGTGGGCCCTGGTATTCTCCACACCAGCGTGACGTGCAGCATAATTAAATAAGCTGTGCGCGCTCTGTTAATTGCCTGTGGAGGGCAATGTGGAGGAAATGTCGAGACGTGTACGGGTGTGAGTGTGTGCCTGAATGTGTCTCCGCTGCATGGGCGCCCAGTGTAATAAGCAAGTGCAGACAAACCTGCGAGAGCCTCCAGGGGGAACCGCTGATGGTCTTGTTCTCAACGTTTGAGATGTAGGGAATGAGAATTTTCTCCCTCTCGTTCTCTCACTGAACACACACACACTTAACATGTTGCACCAACATGTAATTCACACATGCATCAGCACTCCAACCACCTCCTACAGATTTTCACATCCACACATACTGCACACATTTAATCCCACCTGACTACAAACTAAAGGACCCGAGGCACTGTGAGAGTATCTCTTTGTGATTTAATTATAGGAACAATTAAGCATTTTGCAAATGCCCTGAAACTGAAACACTTTTACTAACAGAAACAATTCAATAAGTGTGTTTTCATCCATGTTTTTATGCATATTTTCATTAGAAATAAAACAACCGGAGCATAAAAACTCTACATTAAAAAAATGGAACTTTGTAATAAATATCACAACAAAGTTTTTACGCTTGATTGAGGTGGAAAAGTTTGTGTATTGACAAAAACAAAATGTCACAGTACACTGGAAACAGACGTTGCAAATAAATCATGAGAATATATGAAATAAACAGAAGGGCCATATTTCCATCACGTTTTATTTATTTTATTTTATTTGTCTCTTGATTCAATTTAGCAGGGACAGTGCACGTTAATAAAACATTGCTAGAAATGTGCCAGAGTTAGCCATGAGGCTATTTTTGATCTGTAGACCCTGGACAGATGTTATAAAGTCAGAATGTAAGATTGAAATTCCAAAGTCAAATTATTTATAAGCATGCAAAACAATAATACAATTTAAATAAAACAGAAATAGATGCATCATTGAACTTCAGGTACTATTAAAAACAACATTCAACATGCAACACATTTTCAACATTGTTTTCAACCATTTGTTTAACTGGTTTAACTAGAGCTCTTTCAGTTACATCATCTGTTACATGCTCTTGTTCTACAATGTTTTAACAGTGGATGTAAACACTAATTTGCTTTTAATGTGCACTACGTTTGAAAGGAAACCTGACTAATGTTTGCAATGTTTATGACTAAAATGAGGTTGCTTTTCTGTATTACATGACACATTTTTTGATATGTGTCTGTTTTGTCTCCTTTAGAGATGTCAAGCCAGACAATATCCTGTTGGATGAGCAAGGTAAGCGTGTGTGTTTGCTTTGGGTATTACTGCATGCAGAGATGAGATAAATAATGCTCAGCATTTATTTTAGCCTACTTGGATAAGAAGGGAAATTAAACCTTCAAACATCTTTCTTGGAACTGGTCTCATTCATATTTATCTGATAGAACAGAGGCCATCTGTAGAGTACTGATGGTGTCACATTAATCTCTCTTTTCAAAACATAAGAGAGTACCCCAAGGTTCTGTACTCAGTCCATTTTTATTTTCAATATACATAAACAATATTATTACTCCAACACAGACTTATAACATACATTTTTATGCAGATGACACAAGCTTGTACGCACATTGCTTCTTCAGACATTTCTGCAGAACCTCAAACTTTTACTGAATGCTGATAGGGCATACATACTCACATAATACATACTCATAACCTTACATCTTCCTTCTATCCATATCAAATGTGGACCTACCGTTACTCAACCCACAGGTTTGTGGAGTACTCACAGTACGTATCTTTTTTACTCTAAATGAGACCAAAATCTACTAAATGAACATCATGCTGTATGGAAGAAGACTGAAACTAGAGATTTAGGCCATAATCTCTGTCCACTATATTGTAAATGATCCATACACATTCCACCTTAAAACAACTCGATGCTGTTTACCACTTTTGTCAGTTCCAATAACCAATCATCATCACTATCATTTGTGTCTCCTACTAAAGCTTCCGCAGTGTATTACACCTCCTCTCAAATTTATAAATACTTTTCTCTAACTGACTAATTCTTGATACCCAACCAGGAAACACTGAAGTTGGGAAGACTTCCAGCTTTTATATTTATAAATTACTTTTCAAAATCTTGGCCCTTTTTGGGGATGTTTTTTATTTCTTATGCTGTTTGTATGTGCTGGTTGTGTGACTTATCTGTCTGTATTTCTTCTGCTGTAATCAGGTTTACTTGCAAAACAGATCTTGATCTCAATGTGATTACCTGATTAAATAAAGGTTACATATAAAAATGCCCATAAAACATCCTTTCAGTTTAAGCTCTGACATCTACCTCTAAGTGTATAGTTATGTTTATCAGAAAAAACCTTTTAAGTGCACAGTGTACCCAGACAGCAGTGATAAGTTGGACACAAACACGACCTTGCAAGCAACTAATGAGTCACAGCAGTAACAGGGTCAGAGGAGTCAGGGATGTGTGACTGACACACAAAGCCAGGAGGAAACACTGATTCAGTTTACTGAAATATCAGACTTTGTTGTCACTCATTTCATTTTCTTTTTACACATTAAAATCTTTGCTTTTTATGTGATCAGAGGCATTTATTTTAAAAATGTTTTGATGGATTTTGTGGCTGCTTCTCCTTAGGTCACGCTCACCTGACGGACTTCAACATAGCCACGATAATAAAGAATGGAGAAAGAGCCACGGCCTTAGCTGGAACCAAGCCCTACATGGGTAATCACTGCCATCTTGTAACCATGTCTGATTGCTTTGTGTAAATATAATATGTATCCTTACGGGACGAAAAGAAGATTATAGGAAAAAGGTTATTGTATGAGAAGTAACAAAGTACAAATACTTTATTACGTTATTGTACCTAAAAAGATTTTAACTTCTTACCTTTTTACATTTTTACACAAATATCTTTACCTTCTACTGCTTAAATTTTAAAAACAGACTCATTACTTAAGTTTTAATGCATCTTAAGGGAATTATTGATTATTATTATTATTATTATTTTTTGCATTATTGCGTACCTTCCTGGTGACTTCTTTTAACTCATTTCTTAAAACAAATTTTTATAGACCTTTCTATAATGTCGTCTTCATACTCCAACTATTTAATTTTATTTGTTATTTTAATTTTATTTTTATTGCTTCTATTCTGCTCCTATTATTGTGTTGGTGGTATTCATCATTTTTATATTTAATTACATTTTGTGTATCACAACTATGCTTTGTCTGTCAAAGCACTTTTTAAACTCTGTTTTAAAAGCTGGTAGATAAATAAATTGATATTATTCCCAACATCAAGACCGGTGAAAACATTTAAAAATGAATAATAAGAAAGAAGGTTCTCTAAATGTGCCTTCAGAAGAGTTAATTTTCACAAACAGTTTCCTGACATTTTTAGGCAGGTAACAACCTAGGTAAGGTGTGACTTATTAATATTAGGTATGTGACAAGCTTGTAGTAGATACACTGTTCAAATTAGATACTTTGATAGGCACTAGTGTGAAAGCTTGTGTGTATTTGTGAAAAGCTGAGGCAAAAAATGCTAAAATGTTCCATCTCGTCTTGTGATTACATCGCTTGGTTGAGGGAAAAAACCTTTCCGGTTGACATTTTGCACAGGAACACTTGCTCTTTCACCACATGCACAGGCAGTGGTTTGGGCAGAGAATAACTCTCCGTTTGTGCTTTCAGCCCCAGAGATCTTCCAGTCTTTTGTAAGTGGAGGGACGGGTTACGCCTTTGAAGTGGACTGGTGGTCACTAGGGGTGACAGCTTTCGAAGTGCTGCGTGGATGGGTAAGGCATGATGGGAATTCTGGTTTTTATGTTATTAGGCTGCAAAACTGAGCTTGAATCCATTCATCCACTCCTCATTTGCTTCCTTATTTTTGTCATCCTGTTTCCAAACCAGAGGCCCTATGACATCCATGCCAGTAACTCAGTGGAGTCCCTGATTCAGCTCTTCAGTACAGTCAGTGTCCAGTACAGCCCAGCCTGGCCCAAGGACCTGGTTTCCCTCTTGAGGAAGGTGAGGTGGACACATTTGCTACCAGATCTTTCATTTAAATAGTTGGATTCTTTCCCCACTGAGAGAAAAAACTATCATGAAATGAATCATTGCAAATACATGTAGAGGTCTGTTAGATTATTGAGAACCACATTTTTTACTTCTAATAAATAAACTAAATAACTAAATAATAAATGAATGAAGGAATGTAGATGCAAATTGCAGTATATCCTAATTTAATTAGTGTCTGGTTACATTTTTCAAAGTCAAATCTAAGTAAATTGAACCCTGACCCGTCTGCCTGGACACAGATTATCGTCCCTGGAAAGAGGAGCAGAGGGGAAGGAGATGAGGGGAGATAGAGGTGATATTGGGGTACATATTGAGGTAAAAAAGCGCTGAAGCCACAGGAACAGAGGATGCAGGTACTGTAAGGGGGACTGGAGCCGGAGGGGGGGTAGGATAAGCCGAGACCCTCAGGGCAAAGGAGAAGAAAAGCGACAGATGGGAATCTGAAGGATGGCAGCACAGAAACACAGCAAGTGGGTGAGAGAAGAGACAGTGTGTATGTGTGTGTGTGTGTGTGTCAGCCGACGTTTTCCTACTGATATTCATCATAACAAGTAATTGAACCTCACATTGAGGCTCAAAATACTCTTGTCTCATAAGAGAAAATCTGCCAGTTTGATGAGATCATTTGCATCAAATAGAGAAAAACACTTTCCTTGAATCATTTTTTTCCCTGTAGTAATAATCTACCTTATTCTGCTTTGTGTCAACATGTTGTCATCAGAATCAAGTGAAGCTGTGCTGGAAACAAATGATCTCACCCCCTGTGGCAGTATTTTTGTAGTCATTTTAAGCTTTTTAGAGTGAGTATGAAAAACCGTGACTTGTTAAGCAGGTTTTTCTCTTTTTTTTTTTTGGCAGAGTGTAAGTGTGAGCATGAGTGCATGCATGTGCTGTGGGTCTGACTGAGTGTTCTGGACGCAGCGATGGTCTCTTCCGCTCTGCTGCTGATCGATTACTATGTCTGGACTCCACAGAGACAGACCTAACAGGCCCTGCAGGGGGAAACTGAATCAACCTGTGACCAAAAGAAAGAAACCGAAGCGCAGGGAGAGAGAGTTAACATGACAACAAAAAGCCACATCCCTTTATAATTACCAATGTTTACCCTGAGGAGAAACATGAAACAGATGCTGCTCCATTAAAAGCACAACTGTACCAGCAACCAGGTTTTATTTCCTCTCTGGACTAAGTGATTCTGCTCATGTGTGGCGTTCATCTGTCTTGATCGGTGCAACAATTTTGATACAAACCTGATGGGTGACTGATTTGATGAACAGTGCCCCCTGTTGGTTGCTACCTCAGTAAGGGCTTGGGTGTATCTGGTATTCCTGTTGAAGAGATTGGTGGCAACATGATTACTAAAATATTAAATAGATAATGTAATTGTAGAATAAATAATGAGATGAATATATTCTGTAAGATAAATAAATGAATACAATAATATCATACCATTACCAGTAATAACCAATAAATTAAAAACACTGCTTCCCATCATTCTGAACAGGGTTTTACCTTATTTATATTTAATTATAGAATCAGAAAGTAATGTCCCAAAAGTCAGTTTTTTATGACATAATTACATTTTACCCAGTCACACTTTTTATTTCATAATGTCACTTTTTGTGCTCTCTGTCTTAGACTGTGTAATTAAAAATGGTATCTTGGAAGTCCTGACTCCGCTGGTTCCCAGATAAAACAAAAATGAGCATATATGTGGGACGTGGGTGGAGCTGAGGCGGGGTTAATGAAGCCTGAGTACTGAAAACAGCCGCCTATGACGGCCCCCACCTGTCACTCAAAGTGGACATGTCCTTAATTATACATAACTTTAATCCTTAATATAATTTAAATGGATGAGTTGTATAAAGATTCACCCCTGTACAGCTGAACGTGGACATTAGCTATGGAGACCAGCAGGTAACTGGTTATATAACTGTGGTTGCAACAGGAGCTAGCTTTGATGCTAATAATCCAAGCTCACAGCCCAGCTACGTAGTTAGCCAACTAGATAAGAAGTGTGGAATGAATAAAAGTTATATTAGTTAAGACTACTTATTGTGTTTAACTTACAGTGTTCAACAGCGCTAACTAACAGAAAGTTGGCGGCAGTTGTTGAGCCTGCTATCTTATGTGAGGCAGTAGGGATATAATATTTATACAATTTGTTGATGTGATTATTTTATAATGTCTTTTGATTTATTTTTTAATATTGAACACTTTGGGGCTCCATATTTAAATTGTGCATGCTCAGAAACGATAAAACCTTCAACCTCAAATGAAGAACAATGAAACGGATTGCCGGTCCTACAGATTATACGGTTTATATCGTTTTTATATTTATAACATGTAAAACTGTACTGCTTTGTTTGTAGACGGTAAACAGATTATCTATAGATTATGTATGTGACAGTTCATGAACATGGCCTCACCCAAACATAGATTTCAGTCTGAGAAATAATGAAATCCTTTTCAGTCATAATTTATCTTTGATCTCATTTAATCGAGAGAAAATCATATCGTGAATTGTATCTAATTGTGAGTTGAGTGTATTGTTACATCCCTACCGAATGTTACAAATACTACAAAACTATCTGTAGTTGGACTGTCCAGATGAAGTCTTGATGGATTGATTATGAAAAGAAACAATATGGCAGTATTACCATGAAGACATCTGAGTTTATGGAGCGCTTATAGTTGAGAAGTGGAAGTTTTTATGGATAGTTTCAGGGAAGCCAGGAAAGACTGCAGATTTTACAGAATATTTTTGGCTCCTTGTTATGTTCATCTCACCTAGACCAGCCACACACACACACACACACACACACACACACACACACACACTTGCTACACATGGTTTTTGTTTAAAACTGCACAGTAAAAAGGAAAGAAACCTTCAAATTCATTTCTATTTTTCACCCATGATTTGTCGAGTTTATTTCACCTCCCGGAGAGAAGAGCCGCGCTGTGAACGAGGAGGGAAGTTGTGAAGGTGATATTGCGACTCAGAAGGTGACATGATGTAGGTGACATTACTGTGTGTGTGTGTGTGTGTGTGTGTGTGTGTGTGTGTGTGTGTGTGTGTGTGTCCCTTCCTTCCAGCTACTGACAGTGAACCCAGAGCATCGTTTCTCCGGCCTGTCTGAGATGCAGACATCGCCCTACCTCGCTGACGTCAACTGGGACGCTGTGTACGAGAAGAAGATGGAGGCCGGATTTGTTCCTAATGTTAGTGTCCCTAATGTCAGATATTAACACACACACACACACACACACACACACACACACACACACACATACACAAACACACACAAACACACATGCATACAATAAAGCCTTAAAAGCACACACAGGCACTCCTTCGTGTTTGCTGATCGTAATGAGCATGTGTAGCAGCTAAATAATGCAAAGGAAACTGAATGCAGCTTCTTCTTGGTATTTCACTATGGAGTGCGTACACGTGGACTCACAGTGCATTACCATGTGCGTGTGAGTGCATTCACGTGTGTTATTCAGTAAGTTCAGTCAGTGTGCACTCTGTGGCTCTGTGTGCTCACCGCAGCTGATTTACGATCCCGCGTGTGAGTGTTTGTGTTTCTAATTATCTCGTGGTGCGTCTCCCTCCTGCAGAAAGGTCGCCTCCACTGCGACCCCACCTTTGAGCTGGAGGAGATGATCCTGGAGTCGCGCCCCCTTCACAAGAAGAAGAAGAGGCTGGCCAAGAACCGCTCTCGAGACAACAGCAAGGATTCGCAGTCTGTGAGTGGCCCACGTCATCTGCACGAGCACATAATAACAGTGCCTACCTGTAACGAGGGCTGGGTGATAGGGCCTGAAAATACCATAATATTCTCCTTAAAAACAACCTACAAAACCATCTGTATCACATCTGTAAAGTCTTATAACTGCGGCCTATTCAATGCATAACAATAACAGTAGAGAACAACTGATAAACTGTAAAAAGTGAGCACAATAACTGTAGAAAGTTTGTGTTTTACTGATATTTTAAAGAGGTTTATATACAATTATCTCTTAATATGCTTCTTTTTGACAAATTCAGTGTTTTCTTCTCTCTGGTGCTTGTTCTATTAGCTCTATCTGCAAGTTTTTTAATGTAGGGCGATGAGATATAGGCCAACTGTGTATATTTTTTAAGTTTTCCTTCATGCTTTAAAATCAAGAAGGCCTCACAACCCCCTGTGAAGCTCTGGTGACCCCTGGTGGTTGTGAACCAGTGATATAAATGACTTATTCTGATGTAACAAAAACATAATGATTCCTATATCCAGATTATTATATGCTAATGAAAAACATACCTATAAATATTTTATTCAATTTCTGCTAATAGCTCCTCCTAAATGTTACACACTGGACCTTTAAAACCTAAATTCCAATCAATCGATTTATTGCTCGTCTGTCTCTGGAGCTCGTCTCCTCCTCCTCTGTGCGTACATGTTTGTTTGTCTCTTAAAGGAATATTGAAAAAGACAGGGCCACATTCCTCAGATTATCTAATAATCCACACCATCTTTCATATTTTATCTCGAGATACAAGAGCTAAAACACTGAAACGCTGCATAACCCCAGCATTAAAAGCAGTATGATCTGTTGAGGAGGAGGATTTAGGAGCTGCGTGGATGAAGGTGGAACTCAAGATGTCACTGCATCTGTTAAAAGGCCTTTATTGCCTTTGATGGTAGACGGCTATTTTTAGCTTTTTTCCACATTTAAAAGGGTTATTTTCAATTGTGCAGTGCTGTGTGTGCAGTGTTTCCCAGTTAATCTGATCTTTGTAGCCTTGTGCAGATCAGATTAGTGTTATTTTACACCAAACACACACACACACACACACACACACACACTTCTGAGCAAATTATAACCTGCCGCATATATGGTACTAGTACTACTGCATACACAGAGAGGCAGGGCCCGTCTTGGATAACAATGCAGCTCAGGTTTACCCCGGTCTCCGCTCTGTCAGTTCCCGTCAAAACTGTATATTTTTAGATTGGAGGTGAGGCAAATCCCAGCATCTTTTTCTTTTTTTTCTCCTGCTGTGAATGATCTGTTCTCAGCTCAACACACAAAATGAATAACACTGTGCTAGTGAACATAAAGAGAGACTTACTGTACAAGCGTGTTAGCAGCAGGCACCCTGTAAGCATGCTGATTAGCTGTATCTGTTCAGATCATATAACAAATAATCTCTCCTTCGCTCTCATACTATATATTTCAGTCTATACTGAACAGAGGGAAATAAGATTATACAGCAGGATATTATAGCAGTGAAAAATTATTATACCAATGCAAAAGGACTTTGAAATTAGGAATAGTTTGACATACTGCTGTCACCATATCATATTTTGTTTGATTTATTATCACAATATATATATAAAAAATATACTATTTGTCAAACAGTACACATATTTAACTTTTATTTGGCAAATAAATTAAACTCAACAGAAACACTGAGCCCCTTGTTGTGTATTTAATCCACCACACTCTACTTTATTTTATGATGTTGTGTTGAAAGTAAATTAAAAATAAGATTGCTTTTATGTACCAGTGTGGATTGTAAATAGAAGTTTATGTCTGTCTGTGTTTTTGCTGTAATTAACATGTTGTACATCCTTATTATTGTTTTATCCTTGTTTCTTGATCTTTTGGCTGATATCAGTGGCATAATTCTGGCATATTTACTTTTTAATTTTAACTTTTCCTGAGAAACAAATTACAGACACCAAAGTTCACGCAGTTCACTATCACACCGCAGGCGAAAGTGACTCAAGTCTTTGCTCATATGTGACTCAGATCAGATCATCACACACTGAATTTGATCTTTTCAGTTCTGATTGGCGCCGCTTTCATATGTGGTTAAAATCAGAAAATCAGGTCGTATCAGAAATCATGTGACTTTTTACACATTAAAGTAAAAAGACAGCGAGATATCATGTTAAAATTTATAAGCTTAAGAAGTTCTGGTGTGCTGATTTTTTATTACCCTTTTCCCCTCTGTTTTCAGTCTTTATGCTAAGCTAAGCTAACTGGATGTTGGCTCCAGCCACATATTTACATAAAGACTTCCATCTTCTCATCCAACTCTCAGAAAGAAAGCGAATTAATGTATTTACAAAAATGTCAAACTATTCCTTTAAGTTAGCACAAAATAAATGCTGGTTTTAACCTCTGACATTTTATAGTTTAAAACAACCCGGGGGTCCCAAAAGCTTCACTTGATATTAAGGGGTGTAAAATGTAAACAGTAGACCTTTATCTCAGTATTGTGTTCATTTCTGTGAAGAAAACTAAATGAAATTGTTATTTTTAACATTTAGATTAACTCTGTAGGTCTTCACTCTCTGATAAACATCCTCGTCCTGGATCAGAAAACTGTGCAGTTTAAACAACCAAAGAGCTGACAGAACAATGAGGCGAAAACACAGAATTTGTCAAAAAAGAAGCCTTTTAAGTCTGTATGATTGTTAAAAAAAAATTAAAAAATACATAATACTGAGAATGTAAACAAACACCTCATCTCTGATGCAATATTCACAGAAAATAATCTCCTCAAAATTCATACAAATCGCTCGTTTCACACAAACCTCCAGCACAACATGTCAGTCTAGTCTACAAGATTAATCAATGATGGAAGTAATGATTAGTTTCAGCCCTAACAGAACAATCAATCAATGGGAAAAGTACACTTCAGGAGGATATACCAGTCAGAAATCTACAACAACAAAAGAATTACATAACAGACTACACATTAAAAATTGATATTTTTTTGGTAGAAGTTAATAACATCATTAATACATGAGAGAACTTGGACCTGTGCTGTATATACAGTCTCTTCTGCATGGTTACGTTTGATTGAGAGATTCTTTACCACAGACAGGAGATATTCTCTCTGTGTTTATGAGAAACAGCCTGTTCCCATCCGACAGTCATCATGACATCAGTGTTATTAATGTGTGTGTGTGTGTATGTCACGTGTTATCAGTGCTGATCAGCGTGTGCAAGGAGTGTGTATACCTTGAACAATAGCAGAGGGTTATGAGACTTGGTTGCCCGTATGTGTGTGCGTGCTTGTGTGTGCTCATACTGCGTTATTACCGAGATTATTAAATTATGAAGCCTTCACTGCTGTTGTCATGGCCTCAAGTGCTTTCGGAAATATGAGCTTCTATTTTCGTCTCGGGCCAAACATCCAATTTGAGGAGGGCTCACAAACAATTCATGACTTGTTTAAAAAGAGCAACGGAGGATAAAAAAAGGAGACATTTTCCTCGTCAGACGTCACGCAGTTGACTTGATTGGAGTGGACGTAAATGTTGATCTGTAGCTCTTAATGATGATAACGAGGTTGAGGTTGATGTTGATGTTGGGAGGCGATGGTGACGTTTTGTCTTTCGACTGCCCGCAGGAGAATGACTACCTACAGGAGTGCCTTGAAGTGGTGCAGCAAGAGTTCATGATCTTCAACCGTGAGAAGTAAGAGAACACAAGAGCAGCAGACCATCCATAACGTGGGCTAAAAGCAGAGTTTTCTGTTCAGTCGTTCCACAGCGAGAGAAAGCTATCATCCTGCTGGAACAAAACATATTACCTAGCTCTAATGTGGCTTTATTTGAGACCAACAAATGCAACAAAGTGTCTTTGTGAGTGCAAAAAAACAAGGTCATCACAGATGTGTGAAGGCTGTAATATTAACTGTCTCATTGCGTTTTTATTGGAATTTGTTCCTCTTTGCTTTCCGTGACTGTAAGTCAAGGCAACATAGTGACTCTTTGGATTTGCTCTTAAAGGAAAATTCTGGCTGCTAGAAAGTCATCAGTTATAATAACGCTGTCCTCACCAAAGTAAATGCTGAGATCTTATAATCTGATAGGTGAAACCGGGCAGGAAACGCAACTGTTCTATTAATCGTTAACGTTTTAAACAAACCAAAAGTGTCCACACTAATCCAGGTAAACGGGAATGTCCATCCAAACCACTTCCAAAGAAATATAATAACTGGAAAATGGGATTTATTATTTTTAGTGTGTTCTCTGTGAACGAGTGATGAAGGGTGACGGAGGTTCAACAGGCGGTTTTCTGCCTGTGATCGGTCTGCTCAGCCTCGTGGAAGTGATATCTGACAATTCTTCATCATATAAACAACACGAAAATTCATTGAAGCGAGTAATTTGGCGTTTTTCAAAGCGTTTCTGTGAAGCTGAGACGGATTCCGCATTCTGTTGGCGTTCAGAGGCGACATTAGATATAGACAGCTCACCTCCCGTCCTGAGACCGTGTGAAGACGAGCGTTGAGTCCCTTTGTCAGCGGGACACTCTCATCAAAGCCGGTGGGATTTCATGTTTATGATGGATGAGCTGAATAAGCACGAGACTCCACGAGCCGCGAGATGAGAGACGCACTTCAGATGAGACGGAAGCTTATTAAAATGATTTTAATGCCAAATTACTAAAATACTGACTTAAACAGAGAAGAGCTGTCAGATATCTACAAGGCAGATCACAGGCAGTGAACTTGGCATTTCCCAATAGTCTCAGCTGTAGTGCAGTTAAAGCTTTATACAGAGTTATATTCATTGATGAACATAAATGTTGTTCTTTTGCCTTAATAATCATTAATACCTCAAAATAATACACTGGAGCAGTCAGGTTGTGAAGGTTTATGGAGATTTCTCCTTGTTGCATTTAATGTGCAGTTCCCAGAAGAACTTCTGTTTTTAAAAGACATTTTAAAGATGGTTGAAATAAAGGTGACATATATCGTCACATCTTAAGTCAGCAAAACTTTTGATGATTGATGTAGATTAGCTAGGTAGTTAGAAAGTGTTTTGCTACAAAGAATACTCTGGCTAGTTAAAGTAAGATGTGACTATAAACTGTATATATGTCTCTTTTATCTTTCAACCACCTTCAAAACACGGTTGTCTCTTCAATGTAGATTAGCCTAGCACATAGCATATGTAAATACAGGAAAGGAGAAAGTTGCATTATGGATGAAAAGTGTACATCAATCAAGGATTTTTTTAGTTTTCCAGTATGAACACACTATTGTACAAACTCCAAACCTGCTTAGAAAGAGTGTGCTGTGTGGATTTTGGACACAGTTTGGGTCACCTGGTCTGTTCCCACGCATCCTGGAAAACCTAGAAAATCTGGAAATTTAAAGGCTAGATTTTCCAGTCGTGGAAACACAAAATGTTTTTTAGCCCCTCACTCAAATCGCCTACGTAAACTTAACTTTGTTGATTTGTTCCCAGATCTCAGCCATTACTTTGGGAAAGACAGTGTTATCATAACTGCTGTAAATAAGTATACACACTCCAAATGTTCAAATTCATGCTTTTATTGTGAAGAACTGAAGCATCAGTGCTGTGCAGAATCACTGAGGGAGATAAGGAAAGTTTAAAAACTTCAGTTCAGCTACAGTATGTGAGGCTAATGCTCATTTATGTCCACTATAAAACCATAGAGCACGCAGTGTATCTTGATAAAGTCTCTGCTATATTCAGCTTACAGGAGAGGATTTCATATTTTTCCAAACCTGCACGACAGCCAAGCCTCTTTAATGACTGAAGGCTTCTTAAGAGCCGGCCCTGCTGTGGCTAAATATTAAAGCATCTGTTGTATGTGTCTGGAAAATATATACAGTACATCATAAATAAAGACTATGAGGTTCATATATCTTTGAATATGTGTCCTCTCTGCAGCGTAGGGGGAGGAATATTGGTTCAGTGCTGCTCTAAATTATTGCCTCATTTATTATTGACCAGGTCCTGCCACTGCAGCGTTACTGAAATCCTTCTGTTTGGCAAGTGTCTTATTATACCCTATTGCTCTAGTTAATGGCAATCTACTTCTATTTATAATGGAGGACATAATATCTAGAATTATGCAGAGCAGAGATGAGTACTATATAATAGACTCATTACGTTGAACTAGTAGCTGTTCCTTTCAGCGTTTGTGTTTCATTTCACTGCAAATGTCCTCACAAGGATGGAAAAGTGCTGAAGATACTTGTTTTCCAGAAGGGGTTAGAGGTGTGAAAATATTATTCGATAATTAGTATGATCAATAAATGTGTTTCTCTGTGTCAGGTTGAAAAGGCGTCAGGAGGAGGGTCAGTCAGAGGCCGGGGGCGATGATGCCAGCGGGGACGGGGACGGAGAGGCCGAAGCCGGGGGCACTGACGACGATGCACCCGAACCAGAGCCAGAACCCGAGCCGGAGCCCGAGTCCTCCTCCAAACTGAGCATGTGCGGCTCGGTCTGCTCCTCCCCCGGCAGCTGCTAGCGCCACATCGCCTCACAGTGATGGTCGCAAGGTCTCTCTCTGGCCGCTGCAGTGTTTGTGCCATGCCAATAGATACGTTCTCACCTCTCTCCTCTGTTGTAGCCAGGAGCGGAGGTCACGCACAGCAGGTTCGACTTGACGCACAGCAAGACCCAAAATGGCTCCCTCTATTTTTTCCTCCTCTTCCTCCTATTTTTTATTTTTTTCCTCTGTAGCATCCTTCCGGTAAGGCATGAATGAAGCAGACCCCCCCCCCAGAGAGTCCCCGCCTACTGTACCCATCTGCCCTAGAGTAAGCTCTAACTTCTATGCAATGTTACAGTATAGCATGACAAAATAAGGTATCACTTACTAGGATGTGTTCACGAGCAGAAAGCATGACGACATCCGGAGCAATAGCAGTCCACGGTTTCTGGAGGGTTGGTGGGGTTTTTTTTTTGGTGGAGACGCATTCTCAGCCTTCCTGTTCCAAAATCTGACGGGGGCGACTGAATTATTCAGCACACGCGGGCTCTCCGTTTATGTTATTGCCTGTGTCTTCAGTTCCCTCTTCCCCTCAGTCTCTTTCATCTTACGTATGTGCCCCTAAATTTGGAGCAATTTTCTCCCGGAGCACCTTCCTCCTGTTGCAACACCTTTCCGAGACACGTGTACAGTGCGTGTTCATGGCTGCTTCTTGCAGTCGGCCGAGAAAAGTGTGGCCGTTCTCGTGTTGTGAACCTGTTTAAAAGTGGTGCCTGTTGATGATAATCAGTATTTGTTAATCACATCGTAGCCATTATAAGTCAAACTGCTATCTTAAAGTGTAGCCAACTATTCTTTTTTTTTTTTCCTTAGGATGATAAGGTACTGTAATTTATGGGGAGTCAGTACAGCAATCAGAATGAAAGATGTTTGCTTGTCACTGTGTCTGTAATGATTAACAAGATTTAGTATTTTAGCCCTGCACCATGGTCTGACTCTCAGAGAGCGTTCAGAAACTCCGCTCTGGGGAATAAACACCAATCACATCTTTTAGAAAGCTCTGTTTACTTCACTAGACACCATCATCTCTTTAAGTGCTCGGTTAGTATAAATCTCATCCCCCTGTAGAGCTTGTTTTTGGGCTGTACTTAAACGTGTAGCTGTGCCCTGTTGGTACTTCAAATCGTATAGATGAGCTAGTCTATTATTGTCATAGGGATAGTGGTACATTTTAGGGTGGCACCAGTAATCTCAGTCTGAACACCTGAGAACATGTAGCAATGGTCCACCTTAAAACCCTAAGGCCTAATTAAATGAAAAACCATGTAAATAGCATACAGTGTAGGTAATTAAACTCACCACAGTTTTATGTGGGACTGCGAACTCGACATATAAACTAAAGGAAGAGCTGTGTGAAGCTTCATACTGCTTCGTTCCGCTCTTCTTTCCAAGTGTGCAGGCACAACTTGTAGGCAAGATATGCCAAAGCTTTTCTACCATTTGCATAACCATTTCTAAGGAACTTTGAGTGTGTGAATGTATGTCTCTTTTTTCCCAGTATAACATAAAGTCAGTGTTCCTTCTGCAAGTGAAAATACTATCATTTATACAATCATATTGTGATTATGTATAAAGTATCTATTTCAGGTAAGGGAGGGGACCTTAAAGTAATTGTTGGACATTTTGGGAAATACGTCAATTTGCGGTCTTTACTAGAATTAAATGAGAAGGTCGATATCTCCCTTATGTGTGCGTTAAGTAATTCAAATATTACCACGACCCCCCTAAAGGTCACTAATTATTATGTTGTATCTAGTTTAAAACAAACAGTACTTCATGCTCTATTTGCCAAACAACAGCCAGACACTGTGTGAATTGCTGCACAGATGTCCGTCATGGATGGAGAAAATATGGTTTGTTGAGACATGCTCACACCTGGTTATTTGCTATAAAACCACAAATTATAGTTGTTGTTTTTTTGTGTTCGAGGTGTGGTGGGTGGATACTGAACTGTTCCAGGAGACTCTCGAGGGACTGCAAGGCGCTGGTCACATAGCAGACAGCCAGAGGCGTCGCTGGGCTACACGTATTATTAAACCGTACCACATAAATTACTCTATGATTCCTGTATTACTGTTCTAGTTTGTTCTTCAGTCTTAAATATGAGGGGTGCCCTGTAAAAGACTGGTCAAAGATCTGATCATGAAAAAAGAGAAAGATCCAATACATCGTTATTTAAGTAAGATGACAACAAACTTCTGTATAAGAGTCATTTCAGAGCAAAGTGTCAGTCAGGAATCTGTCCTGCAGGCAGTCACTACGTCTAACGTTAAGCTAGCTGTTCATGATCAGTAAACCATTAACAGCTCCAAAACTTAAACAGACTTACTGGAGCTTGAAGCCAGTAATGAGTAATGTAATAATTACTTTCTGTTGAGTAATTAGGGAACTACTTTGTCAATGAGTAATTGATTAACTTAATAAAAATTCCTACAACCAATGGTGGTTGGCTGGCATTAAACACACTAAGAGATTACTCAAAAAATCATCAATCATTGGTTGTTAACTGTTATGGTATTACTGAAATGTTTTAATAATTACTTACACAACTAGTTACTAGGGAGAGTAATATTATTACTGTACTCTACAGACGAGTTATCTTGTATGTTGTAGCGGTCCCTGGAGAGTCTCTCAGCTCTCGAGAACGGTGTAAATTTTCTCATCTCACTCTCACAAAGAAAGCAAATTAGAGTATTTCCCAAAATGTTGAACTACGTCTTTAAACACTATACATTATGATTAGATTAAGAAGCTTCTTTAAAGGGATATAAAGTGGCATCTTCCAAGTTCGCTGAAATATATGATGAATTTAATAGTCTCAAGCCCTGTGCTTCTTTTGCATGTACCTTTACAGTATAAGCTTGTTTTTTGCCAAAGCCTGGAGCTTGAGCCTTACTGGCTGATTTGTGCATGTACAAGCTTTTGGTAATAGCATACCTCAGTGCTCACCTGATTATAGACACAAGTCCAAACCAGAGTATAACTGGCCTGCGTAAATGTTTCTGGACAGTGAGTTTTGTGAACTTTAAAACTGTACAAAATCATATAATTCCAGTGTTGATGGCATGATATTTTTAGATGATATGCAGTACCTTTTGGCATCCCGTAGATTGTCTTAACGCTTTGGTCAAGTATACAGGCTCGTACCCTTGCTGGATGAGTGGAATGAGGTCAGCCGTTGTGTGTGACGCTCTGTTGTGGGTTAAGTGTTGCGTTATTGTCTGTGCAGCAAAGGAAGAATATTCAGAACTGGGGCAGGTTTTCACTTCACCCCAGCACAGAATTTGCTGCATTATTAAAACACTGAATGTCTCCATTTGTGGATAAGAAAGCTTGGTTATTTCTCATTAAAACCACACCATCAGAATCAACACAGGCCTGAAGTGGATGTGTAATTTATGTTAATCATCTGTAAATGGATAATGACAGTTTTTTTTTTGGACAGTTAATTTAAGTGTAGCTTCTCTCAGAGTTACAATACTAATCTACAGTTTTCGGCACTTGTTCTTCAATATCGGTGATCATTCCTAATTGGACCGTGCTTGCAAACCCTCCCGACATGTTTCTTTATGTGTTAATGTTCTTGGATGCCTTTAGGTGTTTAAAAAAAAAAGGCATTGTGCTAGTGTTTGACCAGCAACAGCATGTCTCCTATTCAAACGTTTTCCGATGGATGCCCTCGCGGCGTACCATACTGTAGATGTCTTAACTCTGTGGATACAGTTTGAAACTCAGTGCCCTGTTGAGAAAACAAACTCAAGAAGAAGAAACATGTGATTTAATGCCACTCTTTTTCCTCCTTGTGATCCTATTTTGCATAATGTTCTTGTGCTGCAGGATTTTTACGGGGAGTCAGTGAAAAGCCTTGTTACTGTACCAACTGAAACTGCTCCGTGTGTTTAAAAAAATGCTGCTTTAACTGCTTTGATAAAGAAATAAATCTCCTTCCAGTAATCTGCGTCTTTTGTCATTTCTACTAAAAATACAGCATCTAAGGCATCTTTTGTCTGCAGACAGTAGAGGGCGACGGAGAGCAGGGGTATGAACTGCCTGAGCAGAGATATCTAAAGTGAATTCTTCTCTGTGAATAGCATTGTAAACATGAGCTGTGCCTCTGTTGACTGCGAGGGGGAAGAATAAGTGAGTGGGAAAGAGATGAGGCTGTCACAGGATTAGTAAGAGTAAATAATGCAGACTGGCTTTGGCCTTGTGCCTCCTCTTTAAGACAAAAACTTCATTTTGATATAAAGGAAACAATGTATGCATACACACATTAAAAAAGTAAAAAGGAACAGATTTAAGCCTTCAAAGTCCAAGAGTCTTCTTGAGTCCCTCCTCCGTGGATTTCTGGTGAGTTTAAGACTGGCCCCTCTGCTCCGGGTCTTCCAGGATATCCACGGTTGGCTTTCCTGTGTTGTCCAACAGGGGGCGCCACTTCGGGGCCTCAATGGCATCCAGAAGAGCAGCCAACTCTACCTCCAAATTCTGCACTGTGTCCTCCACTTTCTGCAGGGGACAGGAGACACAGTTGTGTGGTTGACATATGAATAATACATTAATAAGTTGTAGTATGAATAATAGAATCATCACTCATGAATAAATCAGTCACTTATTCATATGAATAATACAGTCGCCCAAAACTTGCTAGTAAAGTAAGGTCAGAGTAAGTGTGGGGTTTGTCAGATGAGTTGAATGTGGAGTAACTCATCAGCGTTTTGGAAGAAGTGGAGAAATCATGGGGTTTTTGCACAGTGACTGACTGTGGATGTGGCACTGAGCCACAGCTTTGTCGACATCTTATCCCTCAAAGGAAATGCTGAGGATTTTTTGGCTGCCTCAGATGGAGAGAAAGCTGACATTTAATAATAAAGCTGATAACACATCCCAAATCCTGATGGTTTCCAACCATTCAGGGCTCTGAATGCGAGTTAGGGTTTGGAAACAGCACCTTCTCCACTACATCCAGGCGGTTGTGGAGGTTTGTGTGCTCTTGACAGGCACTCGAACGCACCGCTCGGGGCTCAGGTCCTGAAAACAGAAAAGATGCATATGTGAGTGGATTTACAGAGTATGATGTAAGCTTCTAAGCAAACAACTCACTTAAAACCATAAAAAGCCTAAAAGCAATTGATCACGGTGCTTTAACACTTACTGATTTCATTGTATCTCCACATTTAAAGAGGTGTAAGGAACTGACAGCAAACACAGATTCACACACCAAACAAACCTAGTTAGAAGCAATCTAAGGATATAAACTCCAAGTTAGATTCTTGGATGAGAAGATTGATAGATGACTGTATTTTAAACAGCAGCTGGTTAGCTTAGCATAACACAACCTGAAAGGGCATAGGAGGAAACAACTAGTCAGGCTCTGCAGCACTTTTAAAGGGCAGTAACACATTTGTTTAATCCGTTACAATAATGTGTTATTTGTGGGACAGCATAAAAGGTTCAGCAAAAAAATGTTTACCCCTGTTTCCACTCTTAATGCTAAGCTAACTAGCTGCTGGTTGTGGCTTTCATGCTCAGCATAGTTGAGTTTGGTATCAATCTTCTCATCTAACGCTCAGCAAGACAGAAAGAAAAGAAACATTTCCCAAAATATCAAACTATTCCTTTTAGTGAAGACTTCAGAGTTATAATACGAAGAAAATGTGAGAAATAAACAACTAAGAAACATCTGTCAGTTGTCAAAGTGATGTAGTGTTAAGACTTAAAATCTAACATGAGAAATTTTTTTATTTTTGAATAATTTTGCTTGTTTCCCATTCAAATAATGATTTTGTGTTAACTCAATAGCAGGAGAGTGGTCTGCTTTTCTCATCTGAAGTCTAAAATGGGAATAAAAGCACTCAACACATTGAGGAAGACCATAATGCTCGTGGTGTGAAGTCACTTCAGCCGGATGGGGAGGGCCACATTGTTCCTGCTGTTTTCTCCTCACAGTTATGTTTCCAATTATCTCCTTCTCTTTGAAGCCGACATATTTGAGGGGAAGCCTGCATTCTCTCGCAACCCTCTGCTTCCATTTTCTAACACCTTCTTAGTGGCTGCAGGCCAGGCTCCCATTGATAGCCTTTTATAAATGAGAGAACTTCTTATTCATTTACTGACGGCTAGCAGCGGCGCTGTCGCTGTTATTTAGATGAAAGATTCGGAGTGTGTGTGGACAGCTTATGTCTGAGAGTGTGTGTCGAACATTAATGATACTAAGGCAGTGTTAGGTTGCCTCTGCAGAGCGGGTTTTGTCAGTATCATTCCTCTCATACCGTGGCTGCTTGCCAATGACCAAACAAGGATGTGCTTTCACCTTTTCTCCTGGAATAATATAGTTTGGATCCCATTCTTTGAAAAAATACTTCAGGTATTTGAAGGTAATGAGCTGGGAACTTCCAGTGAGCCAGAATACCTTGAACTCTACAAACTAACCCCAGACTGTTTTCTTAAGGTTAAAATCAGCTCTTCAGATCATTTCAGGGTCATTTCCAACCTTTTTATACCCTTTCTGTTACTCATTGTGTCTTCTTCTCCTGGGTTCAGTGTCCTTATTGGAAAACATGTGCACCCTTTTGGAAATATTGACTTAAAACGCCAGGCATTCAGTCTCCTAGTCTCAAATAAACACAGACTGTGGCTTTGTTCAGGTTTCCGTCTTCTCAGCCAGGGTTGGGAGGGTTACTTTAAAAATGCCATTCGATACAAGTACCTGTTCAAATATGTAGTACGTAACCTAATCTGAGTATCGCAGTATTAAAGTAATGTAACTTTATATATTTATTTATAATACCTCAATGGCCTCAGAAATTTGAAGGAAGATGAGGGAAATTGATAAAAATATAATTAAATCTAATTGTATACAATGCTGTCAATGAGTTTTTAAAGACATGTTGTTAGACAAAGTTTGGGAACCCCTGTTCTACAAGACAACAGCACATTGTGACATTAGAAACCAAGATTTTTTGCCTCTCCTCAGTGTATTTCTAAAGAAAAACTTGCTTTTCATTAATCAAATTCAGGCAGTCGCCTATAGACGGCTGGAGGGCAGAACTGTTCTGTGATGTTGTTCCCCTTTTCTGCTTTAAAGACAAAATAATGTAACATTTCCACCCAGTGCAAGCATTTTGTTTTTTCACTGGAGGCCATAATAATGAATTGTAACTGTAATCCAGCTAATAATCCCCATGTTTACTAAATGTAACTGTAATCTGATTACGTCTTTCATTCTGTAACTGTGACGGATTACAGTTACCCTTTTTTTGCATCCTGATTATGAACTCTGTTAAGGTAATCTGTTACTTTCTGAGCCTGATCTTAACTATGCAGCAATTTCTGCATCTGGAATGAATTAAATCATTTGTTTTTCATCTTTTGCTGATTGTACAGGAATTGTTTTTCTGCTGATCTCTCGCTGCAAACAGCATCCATCCTAACAAGTTACCTTAAAACCTTCCTTACGCAATAAAGTCTGCCAGAAATGATTCCCATATCTTATTCTGCACATTGTTCTCCCATGCACAGCCGTGCTTCAGCATCAGGCTGCCTCGATTTTACAGAGATATCCCATGGAAACATTTTACAAGCTCCATTACGCCGACCGGAGGGGTGCCAAGTTGAGTACATGCAGGAAACGGGCCAAGAAAGAGCGATGGATGGATGGGAGGCACAAGAAGTTCATTAGATTTTCTCACTGAGCAGACAAAGCAGATGTTTGCCCTGGTGCGCCTTCTATCCGTGATGGTGGTTATGTTGAGCTGACTCGGGCATGACGACTTGGCAAACCTCACCTGACAGATGAATTATCAGCAGTCTGCTAAAGACATGAAGATTTCCTACACAGGATCTGGAGCAAGAAGTCATTAAAGTGGTGGTTTTTGTTGTTGCGTTTCAAAAGCAACCACAATCTTCAGCTGTAACAGAATGTGCTGCTAGTTTCACAATCAGCAAAAAAATGAAAAAAAAATCCCCCCAAACCACAGCTGTGCTTCCATCTAAGTGTCAGTGTGTGTTTGTGTGATCAATGTGTACACAGCACAGACTGCTCTTCAGGAGGGGAAAACTTGCAACCGAGAGCTGCACGCTGGTGCTCATGATGAATGCTGTTATAAGAAAGAATATTGCTGTGCGCAATAAAGCCGGGATGCGATTAATGTGGCTGATGCAAAACTGTCTGGCTGAGATGTAATATTATAACAGCAAGAAAGCATTTTGTCCCTGTTTGTTTTGGCGTTTGCTGTTGTCCAGACTTTTCCCCCCCTGTCAGAACTGTTCCAGGAGGTTGAGAAATCACGCAGTAACCCCCCACACTCCAAGGAAACACAGGAAAAGCAAACACAGATATGATGATCTAACTCGCTGACTCCACCCGAGGACAAAGGTGAGTGCCCACGCGTGCGTGTGTGCAGTTTTTCTTTCCAGGTCTGTGTGTTTGTGCACTGACATGGCTCTCTACAGGAGAGAGGGAGTTCAGTCGAGTGCAAAATTGAGTTGAGTTCTTGAGTTTACAACAACAGTGTTCATACAAACCAAGCTCTGGCCTGAGAGACACCCCCATAGGAAACATGAATGTGGTTTACAAGCGCCTTCAATGAAGGTGTGTGTGCTACAAAACTGCACTTGATGACGTACAATAGCGAATCCGCCCCGGACACTTCAAATGCTTTCACCCATTTCATGTTAACTGATATTAAAATACTTTCATTTCAACTGCTCTCAGAGCGTAGATTTAGATATATAGATTTTAACCTGTTTTCCAGAGAGGACACTTTTCCCAATACAGTGCTAAATCCTGCCCTTTACTGAGATAGTGACCCTTAAACCATGAAAAACCCATTAAACAACTATATTCCACGCACATTAACCTCTTTTTATATTCTAAATTTAAAGCTTTGTGTGTTTGTAAGTGACTGTGTGTGCTTTCTGGTTGCATAAAGGGAATGTTCATTTTGTTGTTTGCT